CCAGCCAGCGAGCAGCTAAGCCCGGCGGGTCCCGCCCCCATATAGAGCCCTCAGCAGGGCCCTCTGGTGGTAGCAATTAGGGAAATTAAGTCACCGGGCTGAATCCGAGCCCATCCCCCTCCAGGAACGCATTTCAGCCAGATGTGGGCCGCCCAGGTGTGAACGCGGAGCCGTGTGAACGCTGCTGCTCCCCATCCCCTCCACCGCGGGGCTCGCCTCCTCTCCAAAGAAAAGCTGGGAAAAGCTCAGAAAAAAAGCTCACAACTCTGAGGAGCGGCTGCTGCAGGAAGCTTTTTTTCCCCCTTCACACAAAAGCACGGCCCACCTGTGGAACTCCTCGCCGCAGGATGTGGTGAAGCTCCAAATGGGTTAGCCCTCTGAGAAAAGGGCCGGGCGAAAACAACGGGTCCAAGGCTATGTCTAGACTGCAGGCTTCTTTCGAAAGAGGCTCTTTCGAAAGCATCTTTCGAAAGAGCCTCTTTCGAAAGATCGCGTCTAGACTGCAGGCGGATCTTTCGAAAGAGCAAGCCGCTTTTTCGAAAGAGAGCACCCAGCGAGTCTGGATGCTCTCTTTCGAAGACGGCCTACTTACATTGAAGAACGCCTTCTTTCGAAAGAGGAACTTTCGAAAGAAGGCGTTCTTCCTCGTGAAACGAGGTTTACCGCCATCGAAAGAAAAGCCGCGTTCTTTCGAAATAATTTCGAAAGAACGCGGCTTGAGTCTGGACGCAGGGGAAGTTTATGGGTTAGCCCTCTGGAAAAAGGGCCGGGTGGAAACAACGGGTCCAAGAGGAAGAGAGATGAAAAAGAGGTGGACTTTTCAGCTTGGAAAAGAGGAGACAAAGTGGGGGACAGGAGAGAGGTCTCTAACATCCTGACTGGGGTGGAGAAAGTGACGAAGGAAAAGGGATTGACTTGTTCCCATCATACGCGCTAGGGGTCACCCACTGAAGTGAACAGGCAGTAGGTGTAAAACAAACCAAAGGACGTTTTTTGCTTCAGGCGGAGCACAGTCCACCTGTGGAACTCCTCGCCGGAGGATGTGGTGAAGATCCAAATGGGTTAGCCCTCTGGAAAAAGGGCCGGGTGGAAACAACGGGTCCAAGAGGAAGAGAGATGAAAAAGAGGTGGACTTTTCAGCTTGGAAAAGAGGAGACAAAGTGGGGGACAGGAGAGAGGTCTCTAACATCCTGACTGGGGTGGAGAAAGTGACGAAGGAAAAGGGATTGACTTGTTCCCATCATACGCGCTAGGGGTCACCCACTGAAGTGAACAGGCAGTAGGTGTAAAACAAACCAAAGGACGTTTTTTGCTTCAGGCGGAGCACAGTCCACCTGTGGAACTCCTCGCCGGAGGATGTGGTGAAGATCCAAATGGGTTAGCCCTCTGGAAAAAGGGCCGGGTGGAAACAACGGGTCCAAGAGGAAGAGAGATGAAAAAGAGGTGGACTTTTCAGCTTGGAAAAGAGGAGACAAAGTGGGGGACAGGAGAGAGGTCTCTAACATCCTGACTGGGGTGGAGAAAGTGTCGAAGGAAAAGGGGTTGACTTGTTCCCATCATACGCACTAGGGGTCACCCAGTGAACTGAACAGGCAGTAGGTGTAAAACAAACCAAAGGAAGTTTTTTGCTTCAGGCAGCTCCCTGTCAACCTGTGGAACTCCTCGCCGGAGGATGTGGTGAAGACCAGGGTTCAAAAAAGAGCTTTTAAATCTTATTCAAATACATAGGATCTGGCTGGCCCATGCAAGGTTGTGCTGACATGTATGTGGCCCGCCTGTGTAATAAAATCGGGCGCCCCCAGGGTTAAATAAATTATGATTCAGAAAATATGACCGGGGTTACTGATGGGGGCGGGGGGAAGGGAGCAGCTGCCCCATTCCCACCCCTTCTGCATGACAGCCCGCCCCTTCTGGGGGTCATGAAGCTGGCGTCCCCTTGGAAGTCTCGCATCAGCCCTTAACAGGCCGTTAATTCTTCTTTTCTCCCCCCGCTTGCCCACCAGATCTCCAGAGTTTGATTGTCTGATGCGCACAGCATTAACAATGGATGTGTTTTATTGTTGGATGATTTCACAGATTGCAACACAACGCCACAATTTAACTACACTCTTAACGGCTGTGCTGCCCTCTTGCCCACCCAACATTTTAAATATTTCTACCCTCCACACACGCCCAAAGTAATGCTCAGCTAGCAGGTGAATTCCTTTGGAGGTCTGTTACCACCCCGCATCGCAACAGTCCCCATTCTGTCGTTGCTCCGGCGGATCGGGCAGCGAGAGGGTTGCTAGATGCTTTCGCAAAAAATCCTGAACATGGCGGGGGGGAAAAATGGATGAGGGGAAACCCCCCCCCCCAAAAAAAGAACGCTGGGCCTTTAAAAAAAAAAAAAAAGTCGCCGTGCCTC